AACATTATTACTGTCTATTATCATCTAAGTTTATACCGTTGTATCCTGTTTCTATCAAACCAGGGCTCATTCTGACTGTACAGTAAACAAAGTCAATGTTAATTTAACCCCCAGATATTACGCAAAAATGTTTTTTGTTCATCAAAAGACAAAGTTACTGTAACATCATCCACTGAAAAGATCTTTGATCCATGTTCACAGGTAACAGCACAACAGAGCCAACTAGCAGTTCAGCTACTAAGCTGAGAGTTACTGATGGTGTTTAAGGTTTTCTGTATTTGTTCTGATTTAGGAGTGATTTATGTGTGAGTAGATGAGACTGAGAATGTCTAGTTTATGAGAACATTACTTATAAGAGCTGAATGTGGCACTGTTTAGACTTTATTTGTAGTCAGTCAGTGATCTGATAGCTTAGCTGACTTTTTGCATGGTTGAATTTAAGACCTCTATTTAATATTTTCCACAAGACTGATGTTGATGTTCTCTATACATTGATTTTTTTTTTTCTTTTATCGCTCCAGATAAATGATGATGTGAATCAAATGAGAACTACATTTACTTCAAGAAAAGTCACGTCATAACCGTCTGGAGACCGATATCCCGGTACATAAATATTTGATATTTGAAGTCGATTCCTAATTAGATAAAGCTGAGTATTGTGTCCTACTGTGTACTTGACTGAGGCTGTTGTGAGGGGTATGTTTTTGTACAGGTGACTCAGGGCTGCTTTATAAGAACAGGGTTTGGTTTGTGAGGATCTGGTACAGAAATCAGTGCTGTGTCCTGAAGCACAAATACAGTGATTATTACAGTACTTGTAACACTTAACAGGGTTATTCATAACAGGGTTATTCAGATATCATTTCATATTCATTGTGTTTAACCCTTAGGACCCTAGCACTATTAGGTGTGTTTTTTTCCCCCGTTTTTGTCAGTTCCTCTTTCAGTTGTTGTAACTCTAGTAATTATATGAGACAGCCACATGTTATATGTTTTTTTATTTTCAGAAGACATGTGGCTTCTCAAATATGTAATCACCTGAGTTGTAAATGCCCACAGAAGTTTGATATTTTTATGAAACTGGACATGTTTTGATCAAAATTTTTACCAACCGCCTGTTTTTTTTTTGTTTTTTTTTTTTACTTATTTTTGACTGTATCTATTCAAAACATCACTGCACCTCTTAGATGTCAATGAGAAAGTTAATAAAGTGTCTATGAGCTGAAAATATAAGAATTTTGATGATTGTTCATTACATGGCTTATTACTGTGAAATAGTATATGAGTAGCATCAGGCGGACTTATTTTTCTTGATATTCTCTCCTAAAGGAGACATGCAGGTTGCTAAAACTGCCTGTGACAGACTGACACAGCAGGTCAAGCCTTTGGGTTTTTTGTTCAGGGCCAATGTGGCTAATATTCCAGCTAATACAGCCCTGTTTTAGTACGCTGGGTGTTCATTATCAGCTGCTTATAATAACAGTGACTCCTATAATAAAGAATCCTTCCAGAAATGATCAGATAAACACTGGTTTATTCAGAAAACACACAGTAAAGAGTCTGAACCGCAATATAAACCTGAAATCTGGATCAGTCCAGCGGGGTTGGATGGACATTAAAAGACTCTGAACGTGCGCGCGCAGCTTTTCAGCTCTAGATGTGCGTGCACGTGTCCAACGAGCCGTTGCTAGGAAACACGCACACAAACACAGCAGGAAAACTGACGAGACGCGCGCAGCTTCAGAGCGGCTAATCGGCGGAGGCGCTGAGAGGCGTTTTCGGTCAATAATACTGAAATGCGTTTATCAGCAGAGAAATTGAGTGATTATTCTTTTTGGGCTTTTAAGTAGTTTGGGGTGATTTCTCTCTTTTTTTTTCCAGCCCTCTTTTCTTTTTTCATTTTCTGTTCTTTTCTTTTCTTTTTCTTTTTGTTTAAATACCCACCTGGGCTAAGTACCGTACTGGTCACCCCTCTACAAAGGTGTGACAAAGGGCTGCTGTTTGCTACAGCCTTAAGTAGAGGAATCCACAGGTGTGCCAGGTTGGGGCTGATCAGCCTGAGGGCTTTGCCTGTGTTAGTGGCTCCTCACCATCGTCGCCCTCTGCTGGCGGCCGGCAGCACAGGCTGGGCCCTTACACATAACACTTTGAATATGGATTCAGATCCACATACTTTATCATTATTTATTATTCACTATTACTTTATCATGTGTTGATTTATATTATAATATTTGTAGACCAACATGACTTTAGTAAGAGCAGTGTTTGTTTTGTGAGGGCTTAATGAGAGTCTGGAAAGGTACAACGTGTTCATCAGTACCTAAGAACTACCTTTAAATCAATTTTAGAGATAGATTTTCTTTTCTACCAAAGGATTAACATTGAAATCTGTAATCATATCAAACAACTGAAAACTGGAGTTCTGGTGATGCAGAAGGTGGATTTTACTGTGTTTGAATTGACCAGTAGCCTGTTGCCCGTGCTTAACTGGCTTAAGGCTTCGAGCACATTGAAAGAAACATGTCTTGACGTTACATTAACAGATTTGTGTGATGAGTGTTGAGATTCTGAGGTGGAAACTGGCATTGATAGTAATGTGGAAATGGGTTAAGACTGGCCTGTGAGATTACGTGCAGTATCTCCTAAATTCACCCCAAAGCCATCATCTATTGATGACAGTTCGGTGGGGGGTGTGGAAAAGAGCCTCTTTCCCACAGAAGTCAATATCGCAATTGTGTAAGTGTAAATGTCCCACCAGCCCCTCATCTGAGTAAGTCTTCAGCACTCATAGGAGAAAGATGGCATAAATACTGACTGACAGGATGATCCAAACCCCAACCTACAAGCTGAGGAGCTCCCATTTGAACATGACAGCTGCATTTTGTGTTTACTTGTGTTGTTTTTATCTTTATTAAAACTAGTTGGATTATCTGAAACATTTAAATGAGACAAATTAGCAAAAACAGAAGAAATCAAGTATATATATGAGACTATGCAGACATTGCACCACTGCAATTAATTCAATTCCATCAGCAGCACTGACTAGATAAAAATAAATGAAATTATCAATAATCAATAATAAATAAATCTAATATCTAAGTCAATCCATAGTGGGAATCATGTTAGAGCTAAACGTACAGTACAGTGTCTGTCAGCTAAAATGATCCATGTTGATGCACCATAGAAACCAGCCACACACACTGTAGATTACCTGCTGACGGATTCACTCAGGGGCTTATTCATATTGGGATACAGCCAATTTGGAGTTCACACACAGATGATAACAGCCTGCTTTATAGTTATTAAATTAAACATGAGAATATATATAATGTGGTCTTGGTTTCAGTTGGGTGACAAAAACAGACAAGCTGCTAAATGCTGTGACTACAAAACACAGTTGGGACTGTGAGACTGTCAGTATGATCATCCTGTTTTTACATTCGTAAAGTGTTTTACTCTGCAGGAGCAACTTTGTGTGTTTTTACTTTAAAATGTTTTGAAACTAAAGGAATGGTTCACTGAAAAATCAAATTCATCCAGTTTTACCCTCACAAGCCTCATGAGCCAAAACCTGTTTGGTGTCTGAAGTTTGTTTCTTTATCTTAACCACTGGAGCTACGAGGCTAATTGAACCTGTTAGCTACATTAGCTTTGTGGCTCCAATACTAAAGCTGTGTAGATGTTATTCTGCTGTATAAAGGAGCGTCAGACGCCTTTTAAACTCTCTCAAACACACGTTTCATTGTCTGTGAAGCACTGTGACTGAAAATTTCTCTAGTCTGAACAATAAGGTTCACATTATCAGTCTGCATGTTTAAGAGCACCATATGTCATCACAGCTGACCAATCAGCAGCAAGGATGTCTGTTCTCTAGTCATTCATCCAACCAGGATGAATGGTGAGTTTTGGCTGTTTTCACCTGGAGCTGAACAACACTTTACACACAGATCACCAGACTGAACGTGAAAAACTCTGATTCTGTCTTCTTTTTCTTTCTGTTTGCTTCAATGGTGTCTAGAATTGATGCTGCAAAGCAGGATGGGTATTTAGGAAGATTGGTCAATAATGACCATACAAAGGAATAAATATGTGCAGATGATTCACCACACCTGTGTTTGTGATTCATGATAGTCAATAAAGGTATTTATCCTCAAATTACTGTCAAAGGCGCTTTTGAGCTTTAAGTCATGAATGTAATCTTCAGTGTTACAGATTAAGTGATATTTATATGATATAATTAAGTTGAATGGAAAAGTTTAGCCACATAAGAGTTTATAGAATTTATAGAGTATTTTAAGATTTTACAGCTGTAGCATCATAACATCAGCATTAACTCTTACAGGAGCTAAAGAAATGGTGCACAAAGGTCTTGGATTAAACGTCTGAATGTTGTGTTGTTTGAGAAATATATAAATACAGTTTGGTTGATACTTGTAACTCACTGATCTGCGTATTCCAGCACATTATGGACGTTACTGTATACTGAGCAGGTGATCATTCTTAGGATTGGTTATTTTGGCTCCTTAATTGATGCTGTGCAGGCCATGGAGTCACCTGATAGCCTTTGTAGTGCTTGTGCTAATAGGCTAAACATTTAAGTAGTACAAAGGAAACTTTAGAAGCATAAAAGGAGAACAAAATTATTCAAAAATAAAGAAGCATCAATGTTTTTTCCATTTTTCTGCTCTGTTACAGCGGCTTCTTATTTTGTTAGTTTTTTATGGTTTAGTTCATAACACTTAAACTGGAAAATGTCCTGACTGTACTGTGAAAGTTCAGACCTCTTAAAGACGGTAGATAATAAAATATCAACTGATGAACTTAATATATGAACTTTCTGTAACACAGAACTGTTTTCATCTCCAGATCTCTCAGAAAGGTGTGTTCCAATATTGTAGGTTTATGTGACGATTTTCACAAAAACAAGTATGTGTGTGTGTGTGTGCGTGCGTGTGTGTGAGTGTGTGTGTGGGTGTGTGTGTGTGAGTGTGTGTACTTACATTTCTTTGGTCCTGGTTTGATTCTGTTCTCACCTCCATGTTCCACTCTAAACACACACACACACACACACACACACACACACACAGACAGACACACACATGTTAATATACGCATTCAAATGTTCTCACCCTCCTCTCTCTCTCTCTCTCTCTCTCTCTCTCTGCCTGTTTCTCTCTCTCACTCAGTTTCTGTCTCTCTCTCTCTGTCTCTCTCTCAGTTTTACATTTGTCCAGTGTAAAATCTCATCTGTACTCAGACACACTTAAATACACTGATGTGTGATTAAGGTTGTGTGTCAGTCTGTTCTCTGTGTGTAACAGCTGTAAACACATTTATCTGATAGTGTAACACATCCTGGTGTCTCTCCTAAACACATCAGTATCAGATCTTCAGGTTGAATCATTTCCTCTTCTAATGGTGGATCTCAGTTTAAACTGAACTGTAATAATCTTCTCTGAGATCTTTATTTTTGCTGCGTGAGGAGAGAAAGTGGTGTCTGTTTCTGTTCTGAGCTGCTCTGATTACAGAGTCATTCTTCTCTGGGCCTCCAGTGTTTCTTATGGAGCCTTTTTCTACATTATGATCTCTGAGTCTGTACATTTTAAAGTGTTTCTTTAGGATTTTATTTGAATCAGATAATCTGATTAAATCTGTGTGTTTCTCTGCTCAGGAATCTGTAACATTCTAATTTACTAACTCGGGAAATTTCATTGATCCAGTTATTGATTTATTGTTTTTGGTGGGTTTTGTGGATCATTTTGAGTTGTGTTGGTGAGAAGGTGAACTGGACTGTGATTGAGGGGTCTGAGGGGGTCTGTTTGTCTTTGAGGGGTCTGTTTATCTTTGAGGGGTCTCTTTAACTTTGAGGGGTCTGTTTATCTTTGAGGGGTCTGAGGGGGTCTGTTTATCTTTGAGGGGTCTGAGAGGGTCTGTTTCTGGGTGTGTGCAGTTGCTGAGATACACTGTGTGGTGGTCAGACTCTGGCTGTTATCAGTGAGAGTGGAATTGTAAAGCTCGTTGTAGTGTCTTGGGGGGGGGGCGTGGGGGTTTGACTGATATGGGTTTTCAAGATTATTAGTAATCAGGGACTGATAACCGGTATTTGGAGCTGATATATATTTACCATGAATTTGATGTTTGTAGTGTGAAAATTTACAAGAACGAAACTCACAATTTACATTAAATGAATATTAGAAAGTTATAAAAATTAAAGTGATCTGAACTTTAAACAGTGCAGTTTGTAAAACTGTACCAAAACATTTTAAAGTATCTTTAAACATGAAGTAAATAACTTAAATAGCTCTCAGTGATTTTTCACATCCTGTGATGTTTGAAGAAAAAGTGAGCTTAAAAACTTTAAACTGAATAAACTATACAAACATGTTTACACAGGTTTTAACATGTTAACAGAGACAGTGTTGAAAGGGTCACATCAGCAGAGGAACGTATTCAGTATATGTGTCTGAGAGAAAGTCTAGATACAGAATAAAGACTGTATAAAACCTAAACTAACCAAACACACAGAACTGTAAAGGTATTACAGTAAAACTATTACAGTGAACATCTGGTGTGATGAGATCTCTATTCCAGGTCATAGGGAAATTTCACTGTCTAGCACTATTATATAATTTTAGGATGTCCAGTCCTAATTTAACTCTACTGTGTTTTAATAACTGCTTAGCCATTTTTAAGAACTGTGAGTTGTTCTTGTGGTTCTTGTACAGTAATGGAGTCTAGACTATGTGTCAGTTAATCATTAACTAATGATAGTAATACATTGAAGCTTATATTACAACTTATACATCAAATAAAGTCTTAATTAACACCTTATATGATTGTAATTACTGTTACTTTATCATTCACAATAAAATAAAATAAACAAAAAAAACAAACAAAAACGTCATTAGCACAACACGAGAATAAAAAAATCATTAGAATTAAATCATTAAGTAGCCATTAAACAAGACTTATTAGTTCATTTTTAATGTTTATAATATGTATATATGTATACACTTAAATATAAGACAAATGTACAAATGTATACAATTAAATATAAGAACTCAGTAATGATATGGGAATACGAACATAGGAACTCAGAGAAGTGATATAGTGATGTGATTAACTGGTTATGTAATATTTATTAAGCACTCTTGTGCACTTATGAAGCACTTCTTAGGAGAACAGTGCTTTGACTTATACAGTGTCTCACAAACACTGATTTATTTGTAGTGGCCTGACACAATTTAAACACTGACCACCACAATATAAACAATGACCAACACGATATCATCACTGACCGCCACAATTTAAACAATGACCACCACAATATAAATAATGACCAACACGATATAAACAATGACCAACACAATATAAACACTGACCACCACAATATAAACACTGCCCAACACGATATCAACACTGACCACCACAATATAAACACTGACTACCACAATATCATCACTGACCATTACAATTTAAACACTGACCAACACGATATCATCACTGATCTTCACAACTTAAGCAATGACCAACACAATATCAACACTGACCACCACAATATAAACAATGTCCAAACACGATATCAACACTGACCACCACAATATAAACACTGACTACCACATTATCATCACTGACCACCACAATATCATCACTGACCACCACAATATAAACAATGTTGGCTGATCTGCACCGTTTTGACCACCATTGAGCTTCACGCTGCACGAAGCTGTGCAAACCTCACCTGCATGAACTGACCCTCCTGATGCTGATGCTGCTGCATAAACTCAGACTATCTAATTAACCACTGCTCCACCTGTTTTTCCCGTTTTATATTCTAATATTTTATACTGATGCTGTTTGTTGTCCGCTGTCGACCAGAGGAGGATGGGTTCCCCTTTTGAGTCTTGGTTCTTCTCAGTGTTTCTTCCTCTTTGCTCTTAGGGAGTTTTTCCTTGCCACTGTTGCCACTGGTGACGCTCATGGGGGCTTGGACCCAGATTTTTCTGTAAAGCTGCTTTGTGACAATGCCTGTTGTAAAAAGCACTATATAAATAAACTTTGACTTGATTTATTTCGTTGTAGAACTGCACTGTGTTGATTCGCTCAGCCCCACTCTCTCTCTTTATTTCTCTCTCTCTCTCTCTCTCTGAGTCTATCTCTCATTCTCTGTCTCTCTCTTTCTCTGTGACTCTCTATTTCTCTCTCTGATTCTCTTTCTTTATTTCTTTCTCTCTCTCTCTCTCTGACTCTCTTTTTCTGAGAAAGAGAGACAGACAGAGAGACAGAGACAGACACATCTCAGTTTCAGTGAGTCTGGAATATCCAAGCCTTTGTGTTTTTGAAATAACAGCGCTTTTTGGGGATTTTTCTAAGGAACTGTTCATTCTTCTACACACACCTGAGAGGGTTGGTGTTTTGTTGTGGGGTACTGGGAGGATTGAAGGCTTTGACAACATTCTGTGAGAGGCTACTTGGGACTCAAGGGGCATCGGGTTGCGCCATTTTCTGTGAGCGTATCTCAGACATTGTGGTGCAGCTTTACTCTCTTTAGCTCTGTTTAGGAGGAGTTCACCTGGCTATTCAAAGACATCCTCCAGCATCAGTCCCACTGCTGCAGACTGGTAACTGAGTTCCATTTACTGCATCTTATCAGAGACTCAGTAACTTACACTGTTCCACTGTGCTGAGAGGTTAATATTCTTGTTTGTTTGTAACATATAACTGTTATTAAGAGTAACTGTTGATTTTTTAGTCCTGATTCTACTTGCTGTACATGTTAAAGGGATGAAAGAATTTTTTTGTATTGAAAGCTCTTTATGGTGAATTCTGACAGCTTTATTTGCCATTTGAATTTTCTGTTTTCATGAAAAAAGAGATTATTACTGTATAATAGCCAATATCCACAAATTTTACATTGTCATTATTGCTTGTTATTTTATATTTTGGTGCTGACAGCACAAATATTTTCTTATTCAAAGTGAAAAGTGAGCTAAAGCTAGAAATAAAAATACTTGTAATTCATCCCTTAATAAATACTCATATTAATTTAATTTACCCTTAAACCCTTATTTACCCATTTGCTTTGCAAAATGTAGATAAAAACAAAATGCAATGATGTGCAAATCTTTTAAACCCTGTATTTAATTGAAAATAGTACAAAGTCAACAGATCAGTTGTTGAAAGTGAGAAATTTTATTGCTTTTTGAAAAATATTTGCCCATTTTGAATTTGATGCCAACAACACGTTCCAAAAAAGTTTTTGGACGGGGGCAACAAAAGGCTGATAAAGTTGTGTAATGCTAAAAAAACACCTGGTGGTTGATTGATATAAAATGAGCATCTCAGAAAGGCTGAGTCTTTCAGAAGTAAAGATGAGGAGGGGTTCACCACTCTGCATGATCTGTAGTACAATAATTCAAGAATAATGTTTCTCAACGTAAAATAGCAAAGAACTTTTGCTTTTCATCATCTACGGTACTTAATATCATTAAAAGATTCAGAGAATCTGGAGAAATCTCTGTGTGGAAGGGACAAGGCCAAAAAAAACAATATTTACTGGTTGTGATCTTTGGGCCCTCAGGCGGCACTGCATTAAAAACTATTTGAAATCACTGAATGGGCTCAGGAACACTTCTGAAAACCACTGTCTATGAAAACAGTTTGTCGCTGCATCCACAAATGCAGATAAAACTCAAAAATACAAAGAAAAACGTATATAAATTTATATATAAACAGGAATGTTTCTCCTACTAAGTAGGAGAACCTGGACCTGCTGGAGCAGCACTGACAGAACGGTCCCTGAAAGTAAACCTGACAAGCACAAATGTAATGATATTTTAAAAGGCTGCAAACCTTCTCTTCTTTTTCTTCCTATTTAATATATAAATGTCCTACACTGCTCTTAAACTCCTTACAAAAGTTTTGATGGGGACAAGACGGTTCCCTGTGGTACCCTTCTTCTCACTAGAACAGTGTGAAAAACTTTTTCAGCTCTAACAAAATCTAGTCTAAACAAAAGATAAATCATTAAGTTCTGGGCTCTGTTAAAAGCTCTTAAAAATCCTGACAGAGCTTGCTGCTGTTTCCAAGTGACTGTAAATATTGTGAAACACAATGGGTGTGTCTCAAAACCTAGTGAGCTCTCTAAGTAGCCGCTGTCTACATAGGCAGCTGTCTAAGTAGGCAGCGTTCCGACCGTCATTTATCCTTATGAGACAGATAAATGAGACGCTCTAGTTAGACAGCAATGACGTCGCCCACTGCACGAGACCGGCGTTTACTGACTTCAGCTGTCAGAATCACAGTTAGCCAACATGGACATGGCTGGAGAAGCGTTTCTGCCCGCCATTTTCAAACAAAAGTTGTGCCGCGCTGCATCGCGGGATTGCCTCAGCAGCTGAGGAAGCATCCAATGCTCTCTCGATATTCGGCCAAAATGAGGTACCTCAGTAGGCAGCATATTTGAGATATCTAAGAATTGGGACAGCCTTCTTGTCGGGAGCGCGCATATTGTGATGTAAAATGCTGTCTATGTAGAGAGCTCACTAGGTTTTGAGACACACCCAATGTATCATACATTCCTATTAATAAACAGGAGAAAATCCTGAAGTGAAGTAAACCTGTCTACTCAGATTTCTTTAGAAAACCCTTTAAAAACATTTAATTATGTGAGAAGTTAACGTTATACACATGAGATTTACAAGTATATTGTTTCTTGAAATTGCTAAAAAAAATCCCATACTATGTTTTAGACAGAATGCAGAAACACCTGTAAGGAGCTGAACACAATAATGTACAGTTACACTACTATAGCATAAAGTTATACTATACTAAAATATACTGTTTCTATATTACAGTATACTTTACAGATACTGTACTGTAGTGTACAGTTCATATATGACAGTATATTGGACAGTTACTGTTCTATACTGAAGTGGACAGTTACTGTAATACATTATACTATACAATGATTATATTACAGTAATTAAACAAACAAACCAAAACAAAACACCAAAATTACCTGCACTTGAACATCCCCTTGTGTGTGCTTGAGTTATGATGATGTTGACACCCAGAGTTTCTGGTTAGCCTGTCTCAAATTAACATAGCTTCTTTTGTTTCTACTATTCATTTGTTGGCTCTTGTAAATAGCGAAAATCATAACTGGTAAATAAATAGGCCCACAACAGTCATTGCAGAAGCATTGAAAGGCGTCCTTTATAAGATAAACAGAGAGTGAGTCAATGGCTCAACAAACAATGAAAAAAGTTTGCCATCCTTGCTGTGATGTAAGCAGGTGGAAGCACACTAGAACACAGCAGCGAGCAGCAAGCTAGTAGTGCTGCTTCTGAGCAAACCAAGAAAAAATAGAATATTTAAAGTCTGGACTATTTTAAAAGTTTTAACTCTTCCAACATTTAAGATGCTAATGTTCCTTATTTGTGGGGAAAAGGTGGCACACAAGAGTTTGAAACCAGGAAATCTGCTGTGTCATTTAACAAACTGTCGTGGTGATTCAGCAGCTAAGCCTTTGTCCTTTTTTTTTTAGAGAAAGGCTCAAGGATTGTAAATATCATCTCAGGAATCACACACTATCACACAATGACTAAGTCCATTTAGTACTGCTTTCCAGCATATTAGACAACAGACATCTGAACAGATAAACTCTTACATAACAAATCATATGCTGGGCTGAACTAACTGCAAAGATGTAACAAGCAATGGGGCAGCCTGCATTATTAAAAGGATTAAGGATGCAGCAGTCCAGGACATTACTTGGAATCACTGTTTCAGTCATCGTGAAGCTCTGGCATCAAAAGAAATGTCACGTGAGATGGAACTGGTAATGAAAGACTTTGTCAAAACTGTAAACTTTAATAAAGGTAGTGCTCTCAACAGTTGTCTTTTTGAGACCATGTATGCCAAAATGGGAGTGCAGTATTATACACATCTACTTTTCCATACAGACTTCTCTTTTTTCATACATTTCATCCAATATAAATAATTTGATGGAAGAAATACACAGTGTTTTTCTGGAGAAGCAGTCACCACCTAGTGACTTGGTGATGAGATGGTATAGAACAGATGGGCCCAATCTTCTTATAAATTAAGTGTATTTCTTTTTTTGTTGTTCATTAATGTTCAGGGTTAGATTTGTTATTTGTGCTGCATAAAAAAATCAATGACAAAAATATGGGTCACCTGAAAAAAAAGTTTGCAAACCCCTACGATATAAAGTGCAGTTACTATATTACAGTATGCTGCACAGTTACTATAATATAGTAGATAATAATTGTATTACAATAGAGCACAGTTACTATTTTATAGTGCACAGTAATTACACAACAGTACAGAGTACAGTTACTATATTATAGTGCACAGTAATTACACTACAATATAGAGTAGAGTTACTATCTTATAGTGCACAGTAATTATACTACAGAATTGAGTATAGTTACTAAACAATAGTGCACAGTTATTGAACTACTGTAGATTGTACACTTACTGTACTATAGTCACTACATTAATGTAACGTTACTATATCCTACAGTATACAGTACAGTCACCTTTCAATACTGTACAGTTACTATATTATAGTTGTCATACTGTACATGCAAATATACTGTATGGTTACACTATTACTTCATACTTAGGATTAATATGCTGAGGAGGTTTTCAGAAATACATAAGAAGCAGATGATTACATTCTTCAGTTCAATATCATTACTTTCCAGGCTTACACATACACACAAAAAACAAACCTCTGAACACAGTTGTTGATACCTGAGTGTGCTGAGTGAGCAGTGTGGATCGCCCAGTCTAGCAGAGAGCAGCTTCACTCCTGACTCTCCTGGGTGGTTGTAGGTCAGATCCAGTTCATTCAGGTGTGAGGGGTTTGAACTCAGAGCTGAACCCAGAGAAGAACAGCCTTTCTCTGTGATCATACAACCAGATAATCTGCAGAGTGAGAAGAGAAAGAGGAAAATAACCAGAGGTAGACTGAGAAACATGAAATATTAAACCAAACTTAACAGCAGTATACTGAAAATGGACAGTTTCACAACTATGTATTAACATTCAAAAAATCTACTTATTAGACAGTTATTAAACCAGGATTATCTTGTGATGAAACATCTAAATACTGAGTTAGTGTGCACCTGTAAATTTTTTATCATTAAATACTGGAAAACTATATGTTCCTAATGCCGTTGTTGTTAATATTGGCAAACCTGTGTGCTAATAATGCTGTTCTGGTGCCTATAAATTCTATTTTAAACGGATCTTCCCACTCTGATAACTTCACTATTAACTGGAAAACATGGGGGCATTTAATCATGAGCTTGAAACAGCCATTAATTTTCACTGCAAAGTTTAAAAAAACATTTAAAATATAGTTATGGGCCACAGTAAGGAGAGGTTTGTGAGATTTAGTTAGCTCCAGTCATACAAAACAAAGCTATTTCCATTTAATCTACTCCTCACTTAACACAGTTTCTTAATACTGTTAGTTTATTTAATATGAAAAAAAATATGATCTAACAAAGTACAATATTCATAGATTTGTCTTGTGTTTACATCAAGCAACATTCAGTACATAACACAAGCACATTGAATAATTGAATAACATTTGTAAAACAACAATTGTATATTTATAAACAGTTTATGCCAGTAATCAAAAGATGACTTTAAACGTTTTGTATATGGCATTATATTGACATAAGGGCCTTTAACTAAAGTCACAGACATTTGTTTAAATTTTAGCAATGCTATGAAGTAAAGGACCCTTAAGAATGTTATATATTAGTTTTATATAAACAATTATTTCCCACAAATTTAAGTCACTAATTTCCTGTTTTCCTAAATGAGTGAATGTACATATTCCAACACAAAGTTCCTGTTCCTGAGTAAAAGTAGAAATGTCCTTGGTAAATAACAAGTAAAAGTAGTTCCTGTTCTGTATTTCTGCAAAAAAAATCTGTGTAATCGCAGATATGAGAAACTAAGATAGCTGTTCATGCATTCTTAACTAGGGCTTTTTTATGTGTGGTATTACTTAGAAATAACAGTGGATCAGGGGATAGAGCCTTTTCATACAAAGCCCCCAGCTTTGGAATAATCTTCCAGTCAGTGTTTAGAACTTGAACACAGCCTCAGTCTTTAAGTCTAGGCTAAGAACCCACTTGTTTAGTCAAGACTTTGGTAATTAGTTTTTTTCCCCTCGTTAGAAAAAAGGTACAGGTCAGGGGGTTCATGGACATACAGTATTCTAGTAAACTGCGAGTGTTGGTGCTGTCGTCCTGCTGCTCTCATGGGTTCACTCTCATTTGCTGATGGTGGAACAGAGGGGCACTGACATCTCAGGGTTTCTCCCATCTCTCCCTCTTGTCTTTGTTACCTTCAGGATCTCCCTGTAAAGTAGGCTGTAATATCTCTTCTGTCTTCAGTCACTCCTAACAGAACTGTCTGTGCTGAGCTGAACAACTGCTGCCATACTGCACGATCTGATGCTGTTTTTCATCTGCCTTGATTGGGTGCCCCTTGCTTAACACTTTCTGAACCAGTCTGACCACGATGGAGCTTTGTGCTGTCCAAAGCTGTGCAGAAAGTCTCACCTGCATGCCACTGACCCTCCTCATGATACTGCTGCTTGAACAAACTCTAATTATTTAATCATAGACATCACATTCCTGCCTCATAATACTCTGAGCGCTTCTCATATTCATATTAACAGATGATCATCAGATAGTAGTCTTCTAACATTAGTCATTGACATTCATGGTTTTCTCTGTGATACTGTTTTTCACTTGTAAGAGTGACTGATTTTCACAGATCTGTTCCTCCTTGTTACTCTGAGAGACCTCTACAGTAGTCATCGGTTCTTAAGCTAAATACTTCTTTTCAATGACAATTTAAATTTCTCTATTTATAACATTTTACATTAACGGTAAAACCTTACTTTCTGCAAATTTTGCTTATGTTTTTGTTTTGCTACCTAGTGTCGACCAGAGGAAGATGGGGTCCCCTTTAGAGTCTTGGTTCCTCTCAAGGTTTCTTCTTCTTGCTCTTAGGGAGTTTTTTCTTGCCAATGTTGCATTTTGCTCGCTCATGGGGGATAGGACATTTTCAGTAAAGGTGCTTTGTGACAATGTCAATTTTAAAAAGCATTATAAAGTAAACTTTGACTTGATTTTACTTCTTTTCTGAGAATATGTGACCTCATGTAAAGTTTTGATTGACTTTTGCAGATGACACATGTAAAAATACTACACTCATAAGGAGAGACCAGTGGGCTAAATACCACCATAGTTATTTTGTAAATATAACTTAATTATCATGCAACATTTTGTGTGGTAAAGTGTGGCTCCTTTAAGTTTTATGAACCAGGCTCAGAGTCATGCCTTAATGAGTTGTAAGTAAAGCAGTATGTTGTTCATTCAAATACCCAGAATTGCCTCACTGTAGCAGTGTCCCTGACTTAGAATTTACATAGTCAAATCTGGCTGGTGAAATCTTGCCCATTATTGACTGATTGTCTAATTGTTTCTTTTTTTGATCTTTGATCCATTATCCAAATTATACAGTGCTTCAGGTAAAGCCAAGCCCAGCCAAGATGCTGCTCCGATGGTCCTACAGAATTGAACAGTGCAGTCTATGGTGGAAATTTAGAAATTAGAAGAGGTGCTGATGTATTCTGTAAAAACCAGCCATGAAAATGAATGGAAATTAAATAGAAAACTAAATAAAAATGTTAATTCATGATCAGCATTAAAAGAAATACTACTTAAACATTCCATGCTGCATACAGATTTTCTGACTGGTCTTCTAGGCGTTCATCCAATCACAGTCAGATTGCTGATGTTAAACAGACGTACTGCGCTCTTTTATAAAGGATATTCTTATTGAGCAGAACAGCTCAATTGACTATTTATCTGTTTGGATAAACAATGACTGTATAACTATGTTGCTGCTCTGCGCTGCGGCCAGTGCACGCAAGCTATATCAGTGATGATGCCGGGTCGCTCATACCATGCAGAGGTAGCATGTATGTATCAGGTATAAAGGAAAGATTAAAAGCGCATGACTTATTTTCATATTTTTATAATCAGTGTTATTGATAGGCTACTGTGCATTCACGTAGTATTTTTACATGCAGTAATTAATTGACAGAAAGCTCACCTGAGTATCTCCAATTTACAATGTGAACTCATCAGTCCAGCAGAGAGCAGCTCCACTCCTGAATCTTGCAGGTCATTATTACTGAGGTCCAGCTCTTTCAGTGGTGAATCTGAACTCCACATTGATGCCAGTGCTTCACAGATGCTCCCACCGAGGTTACAATGATCCAACCTTGACATTAAATAATATAATGTCTTTTTAGAAGCACAAAACAGGGTAAATCCTAAACTTACAGGGTACAGGCTAGTACATTCATATTTATCTGCCTATAGCTTTCACTGCCAGTTCTAGCTTAATATTCATATAGGCTAAATGTATATAGAAGCCGTTTTTCAAACTGTGTGTACGTACTGTATGCTCAGTCAGCTCCACAATTATTGTCACACATAAAGATGGGCAAAAAGGTAAGGAAAAAAGTCTTTGTCACTAATTAGCTCAATCTACCTCTAACCTTATTTTGAAGTACTCCAAATAATTTTTTTAAATATGTTTCACAGTTACTGGCACACACAGAAATTCTAATGAAAAAAAAGGTCTCTCAAGCATGAAGCTTTCCTGTCTCAAAATGAATAGTACTCTTTTTGATTAGCTCTAAATGCTTAAAAGGAAAAACATAACATTTACACATAAAACATGTGAAACTTAAACCTGTCCATGGAGGGCAGCACAGTTTTTTGCCTGCTGCTTAGTTTACATCATACATGAGCATCAGTGCCAGTGCAATGCAGTGTGCAGCCTCAAATGCACACGTAGCCCTGATCAGGCAGAGAAGTGGAGTTTTTGTCGCTTTCAGCTCAATTTATTAGTATTTTTTTTTCAAATCTGACTTTGGATGATGATCTTTAAGTCACATAAGTTTAAGATTATTGAAAAGGTTTTGATATTTTATCACACTTTATGTGATTTGTGATTTTTATGACCTAAATACAATCTTCAGTTGAGTATAGTGTTTAAATTTTACATTGTAGTGTCAGGGCTGTTCTTGGTTTCTGCAACAAGAAAAATGGACTGGAATATACATTTAATTTGTATAAGTAAAATCAGATATGCATAGAGAATGCCGTAAATTTAAAATAACTTTGTCTATAATGGTGTTTTCCCCCCATTAGATAAAAGGTACAGGTCAGGGGGTTCATGGACATACTACGGAATTGAACAGTGCAGTCTATGGCGGTGATTTAGAAATTAGAAGAGGTGCTGATGTATTCTGTTAAAACCAGCCATGAAAATCAATGGAAAAAATTAGAAAACTAAATAAAAATGTTAATTCATGAACAGCATTAAAAGAAATACTACTTAAACATTCCATGCTGCATACAGGTTTTCTGGCTGGTCTTCCAGGCGTTTATCCAATCACAGTCAGAATGCTGTTGATGGCAAACAGATGTACTGTGCTCTTTTATAAAGGATAATCTTATTGAGCAGAACAGCTAAATTTACTATCTATCTGTTTGGATAAACAATGACTGTATAACTGTGTTGCTGCTCTGCGCTGCGGCCAGTGCACGCAAGCTATATCAGTGATGATGCCGGGTCGCTCATACCATGCAGAGGTAGCATGTATGTATCAGGTATAAAGGAAAGATTAAAAGCGCATGACTTATTTTCATATTTTTATAATCAGTGTTATTGATAGGCTGACTACTGTGCATTCACATAGTATTTTTACATGCAGTAATTAATTGACAGAAAGCTCACCTGAGTATCTCCAATTTACAATGTGAACTCATCAGTCCAGCAGAGAGCAGCTTCACTCCTGAATCCTGCAGGTCATTATTACTGAGGTCCAGCTCTTTCAGTGGTGAATCTGAACTCCACATTGATGCCAGTGCTTCACAGATGCTCCCACCGAGGTTACAATGATCCAACCTTGACATTAAATAATGTCTTTTTAGAAGCACAAAACAGGGTAAATCCTAAACTTACAGTGTACAGGCTAGTACATTCGTATTTATCTGCCTATAGCTTTCACTGCCAGTTCTAACTTAATATTCATATAGGCTAAATGTATATAGAAGCCGTTTTTCAAACTGTGTGTACATACTGTATGCTCAGTCAGCTCCACAATTATTGTCACACATAAAGATGGGCAAAAAAGGTAAGGAAAAAAGTCTTAGTCACTAATTAGCTCAATCTACCTCTAACCTTATTTTGAAGTACTCCAAATAATTTTTTTAAATATGTTTCACAGTTACTGGCACACACAGAAATTCTAATGAAAAAAAGGTATCTCAAGCATGAAGCTTTCCTGTCTCAAAATGAATAGACTCTTTTTGATGAGGTCTAAATGCTTAAAAGGAAAAACATAACATTTACACATAAAACGTGAAACCTAAAACTGTCCATGGAGGGCAGCACAGTTTTTTGCCTGCTGCTTAGTTTACATCATACATGAGCATCAGTGCCAGTGCAATGCAGTGTGCAGCCTCAAATGCACACATAGCCCTGATCAAGCAGAGAAATGGAGTTTTTTGTCGCTTTCAGCTCAATTTATTATTTTATTTTTTTTTCAAATCTGACTTTGGATGATGATCTTTAAGTCACATATGTTTAAGATTATTGAAAAGGTTTTGATATTTTATCACACTTTATATGATTTGTGATTTTTATGACCTAAATACAATCTTCGGTTGAGTATAGTGTTTAAATTTTACATTGTAGTGTCAGGGCTCTTCTTGGTTTCTGCAACAAGAAAAATGGACTGGAATATACATTTAACTTATATAAGTAAAATCAGATATGCATAGAGAATGCCGTAAATTTAAAATAACTTTGTCTATAATGGTGTTTTCCCCCCATTAGATAAAAGGTACAGGTCAGGGGGTTCATGGACATACTACGGAATTGAACAGTGCAGTCTATGGCGGTGATTTAGAAATTAGAAGAGGTGCTGATGTATTCTGTTAAAACCAGCTATGAAAATCAATAGAAAAAATTAGAAAACTAAATAAAAATGTTAATTCATGATCAGCATTAAAAGAAATACTACTTAAACATTCCATGCTGCATACAGGTTTTCTGGCTGGTCTTCCAGGCGTTTATCCAATCACAGTCAGAATGCTGTTGATGGCAAACAGATGTACTGTGCTCTTTTATAAAGGATATTCTTATTGAGCAGAACAGCTAAATTTACTATTTATCTGTTTGGATAAACAATGACTGTATAACTGTGTTGCTGCTCTGTGCTGCGGCCAGTGCACGTAAGCTATATCAGTGATGATGCCGGGTCGCTCATACCATGCAGAGGTAGCATGTATGTATCAGGTATAAAGGAAAGATTAAAAGCGCATGACTTATTTTCATATTTTTATAATCAGTGTTATTGATAGGCTGACTACTGTGCATTCACATAGTATTTTTACATGCAGTAATTAATTGACAGAAAGCTCACCTGAGTATCTCCAATTTACAATGTGAACTCATCAGTCCAGCAGAGAGCAGCTTCACTCCTGAATCCTGCAGGTCATTATTACTGAGGTCCAGCTCTTTCAGTGGTGAATCTGAACTCCACATTGATGCCAGTGCTTCACAGATGCTCCCACCGAGGTTACAATGATCCAACCTTGACATTAAATAATATAATGTCTTTTTAGAAGCACAAAACAGGGTAAATCCTAAACTTACAGGGTACAGGCTAGTACATTCATATTTATCTGCCTATAGCTTTCACTGCCAGTTCTAGCTTAATATTCATATAGGCTAAATGTATATAGAAGTCGTTTTTCAAACTGTGTGTACGTACTGTATGCTCAGTCAGCTCCACAATTATTGTCACACATATAGATGGGCAAAATACATACATGAGCATCAGTGCCAGTGCAATGCAGAGTGCAGCCTCAAATGCACACATAGCCTGTCCTCACCAAAGCCTGGGCAGTGCCATTGACATTCATCAGCATCACAAATATTAGAGAACAAACAAATAAAATGAGACAAAATTTGTAGACTTTCATGAGTTGGGCAATGATATAAAAAAAATTCTCCAAAAATCAACCTGGAGATTTGCAGAAGATGGCAGTATTTTGGGGCCATTTAATTACAATTAGACACCACATCCATGGCAGTAAATTATTTTAAATGTGTGTGAGAAGAAAGCCTTTTCTTTGATCTATCCATGAACACAAGGACCTTGAGTTCACTAGATGCGTCTGGAACTTTGATTGGAGTTTGGTTCTCTGGTTAGTTGAAACAAAAATAGTGTTTTTGGCTTTTGACACCATAAGTTGGTTTAAACATATTTTTGTTATACTGAATAGAACCTAATCCCCATTGTAAAGTATCACGATGTTTTAGGACTGTTTTTGACACATAAAATCATGGACTCAAGAGAGATTTTACTGGGAGATTTTACTTGAAAGTCGGTCTGTCTCTGCCAGAAAGACAAAATTGGGTCATGCCTGGATCTTCCAATTGGACAATGTTCCAATTCACACTAAAATGATTTACTGACCACAAAATCAAGTTTTTGACGTGGCCATCTCAGTCCACTGACCTGAACCCCACCGAAAAAATGTGGGATGAGCTGAGGAGGACAATCTAAATCAGAGGATCTAGGACCCTGGAGAATCTGGAAAGATTCTGTGTTCAGATGGGGGCTTAGATTGCTTGTATTCTCAGATTGCTCTGTATTCTCCTGTATTCTCTAACCAAGCGTTATAGAGAATGACTTACTACTGTTATGTGGGCAAATAAAGATTCCATAAAGTACCAAATGCAGGAGAGCCAATAATTGTAACACATGGCTTTATTAAAATATTTTATAAATGTTTTTGTTTAGAGCAAATCAACCTCAAACATTCTATTGTTCTCTTATTTTCAGTGTGAATTAATCAATTTATAGTGTAGTAATTTATAGTGACCTTATTAATACATGTGAGCTGACTGTATGCACTGTATGAATTCAGAATAAGGAATTTGTAGAATCTCACTCATACTACACTCACAAAACATAAATAGCAGAGTGAAGTCGAGTGAATATAAATATGTTTATAAGGGTATATGTCTATCATTATTTTAATGGACATTTCTCATTTCTTTACAGTTAATTTTTTTTTTTTTTATTGGCTTATTGGTCACTTATTTTTTTAACAGACAGCAAAGACAATTACATAAACAATTAACAGTATTATTAGTGACTATTAATAATTTTTTCCCCAAAGCTCATTCTTTGCTGGCCAAACACACTGGTATGAAACATAATCCTAACAGATGAGATCTACTTCACTTTCACAGGTAACATGGCCTTTGATAACTCCTAGCAGCTTTCTGATAGGGTTGCGTTTTTGACTCAGCATCCACAGCAGAACAGCAGCTCATGTACAAATCCATGACTGCTTGCAGATGGAAACTGCATCTATTTTAATTAAAAGGCTGGAAATTATAGTAAACACAACATATGCTTCAAATAAAAAAAAACTGACTTGAGTAGTATTAAACAAAGTATTGGTGATAAATGTATGTACTTATGTAATTGTGCTCACATGAAACTAGTGGTCAAAATGGCTGCTTAAAAAGTGAATGCTTCCACATGAAATGCTGCTGTTTGCTAAAATGCTCATGATTATATGTCAAAAAATCTCTCACACTTACTGGAGCTTTGCATGACATAAACTATATGGCTAAAAGTATGTAGACACCTGACCATCACATCTATATGAGCTTGCTGGACATCCCTTTCCAAAAACAGGGGCATTAATATGGATTTGGCCCCCCCTTTGGGGCTATAACATCCCCCATTCTTTTGGAAAGGCTTTCGACAAGACTGGAGTGTGTCTGGGGAAATTTGTGCCCATTCAGTCAAAAGAGTGTTTGTGAGATCAAACACTAATATTAGATGAAAAGGCCTGGCTCACAATCAGTGTTCCAAATCATCCAAAAGGTGTTCAGTTGGGTTAAGGTCAAGGGTCTGTGCTGGTCACTGGAATTCCTCCACACCAAACTCATAAAACCATGCCTTATGAACCTCACGGTGTGCAGAGGGGCAGAGTCATGCTACAACACAAAAAGGCCTTCCCCATAGTGGTGCCACAAAGTTAGAAGCATATAATTGTCCAACATGTCTTTGCATGCTCTAGAATTAACATTACGCTTTACTGGAACAAAGGGGCCCAAACCCTGTATAACAGCCCCAGACCATTATCTCTAATTTGTTAAACTTTACTGATAGCGCTATGCATTCTGGCATTTCAACTGCTCCAGATTCCAGTGCTAGTGTGCTTTATACCACTCCAGCCAGTACTTGGCACTGCACATAGCGATCTATTCAGTATAATCCAGTACTGCCAACGCTTGTCTATGGAGATTGCATGGCCATGTGCTGGATTTTATATATCTGTTATCAATGTGTGTGGCTGAAACACCTGAACTCAATAATTAGGAGGAGTGTCCACATAATTTTGAACATATAGTGTAGTTTTGTGCAGGGATAGTTAAATAGGTCTTTTAATGTAGAAATTGACATATTACAATAGCAAATATAGTCAAAGTGCCTTTTTAAAGATATATTCATCATCTAAATTAAAAATGGCAAAAATATAAATGCAGCACACCTGTACTTAACTGGCTCACATTATTTACCATTCAGACCAATTTCTATTGTGTACTCCTAAAATGTATATCATGTTAAAGTCACATTAAATTCAATAGTTTACTGATTTCATCTGTCATTCTTGAATTACATTGTCTTTTAATATAACCTACGGAGATTTTAACAATTTATTGAAGATTAGTCAGCAATAGAGACATTCAAAATAAGGTTAGAGAAAATAACTTACAATGCTCGTCTTGTGTTTTTCACCACTGGCAGTAGTCTCCTCAGTCCTTCTTCTGATGGTCTGTATTTCTTTAGCTCAAACTTCTCTTGAGTCTCTTCTGACATCAGCAACACAAACACCAGAGCTGACCACTGAGTAGATGACAGTTTCTGTGTTGAGAGATTTCCTGAGTTCAGGTATTCCTGAATTTCAGTTGTCAGTGAATTGTCTTTCAGTTCACTCAAGCAATGGAAAAGATTGGTGCTCTTCTCAAAGTGTTTTTTCATTTTGATCTTTCTTTTAATGTAGTCTACAATGGCCTTTAGACTCACTTCTTTGATGTCCATTACTCCCTGGAGACTCTTAAGGAGCCTCTGATTGGACTCCAGGCAGAGGCCACAAAGGAAGCGGAGGAAAAGGTCCAGATGTCCATTATCACTCTTCATGGCCTTATCCACTGCTGTCTTGAGGAGATCACCCAGTGTATGTTTCAACTTCCACTTTATTTTCTCACCTATGGTTTGAAGGAGTGGGTTACATTCATGACTGAATGTGAGGAACACAAAGACGGCAGCAAGAAACTCCTGGTAACTCAAATGTACAAAACAGAAAATCTTCTCATCCTTTTTAAAGATTTGTGTACAAACTCCAGAGTACACCACAGCTTCATCAACATCAATGCCACATTCCTGCAGATCATTCTCATAGAATATGAGTTGTCCTTTTTGCAACTGAAGAAAAGCTAGTTTTCCGAGCTTCAGTACACCCTCTACTCCCAGTCTGTCATTTTGCATTATGCTGTATTTCTCACTATTTATTCTTGTGTGAAACAGCAGGAAACGTGTGTACATTTCTGTAAGAGTTGTGGGAGCATTTTTCATGTCTTTGTCATCCTTCAACACTTCCTGTAGCACTGTGGCTGAGATTGAACAGAAGACTGGTATGTGACACAAAATGTGGAGACTTCTTACTGTCTTAATGTGTGAAATAATTCTGCTGGCTTGATCTTCATCCCTGATTCTCTTCCTGAAGTACTCCTCCTTCTGTGGGTCATTAAATCCACGTATTTCTGTCACATGATGAAAGTATTTTTGTGGAATCTGTTTGGCTGCTGCTGGTCGAGTGGTTATCCAGATGAGAGCAGAGGGAAGCAGCTCTCCTTTGATGAGGTTTGTTAATAGTTTATCAATGGTGGTCTCCTCTGTTACATTAGATAGTTTCTTTTGATTAAAATCTAGATTAAGTTTACTTTCATCCAGTCCATCTAATATAAAAACCACCTTACACTTGTCAGTCAGGATCTCATTTACATCTGCATTATGGAACTCATCATGGAAGTAAAGTAGAAGACTCCAGAGGCTGTACTTTTCCTCTTTGATCACATTCAGTTCCCGAAAGGGAAAAAACAGAATGAAATCTAAATCCTGGTTGCATGTGTCTTCAGCCCAGTCAAGAATAAACTTGTGTACAGAGGCCGTTTTTCCCACTCCTGCTATTCCCAGTGTAAGTACTTTAGTACCAAGCACATTTTGACTGGATTGTGTTTTGAAAATGTCACTGAACTTGATTGATGTTTCCTCTATTTTGGGATAAAAACATTCTATCCGTCTCACTTCATGCTTAGTGTTTACTCCTCCTGTGCAGCCTTCAATCACATATAGTTCAGTGTAAATGTCTTTCAAAAGCAAATTACTCCCTTCTAGTGAAGTCCTGTCATACAGCTTTGCAAACTTTGCCACAAAATGTCTTTTCAGTGCATCTTTTACACCTCCATCTTCTTTAGCTGCTAAAAAGTAACAAGAAAACAAAATGTTATTCCATTTTTAGTGATATGTGAGTAAGGATTGTATTATACAGAATTTATTCTTTGTGTATTCATGTTTGTTTACCACTGCTAACTAGCATGACTTATATCAGTAAAAAACAAGGATATGTCAGAAAGACAGTAATAATTTGTTTACTAATAAGGCTTAACAGAAAGTCAATCTATGACACATACTACACAAATTTCTTATTAAATTGTAAACCTATCATGTAAAATGTCTTCATTTTCTCTTTTGGTACAGCATAGAGGAAGGAACGTCAATTTATACAGTAATTGGTGGATTTGGTACACATTCTAACACATTGAGTTTAAAAGGTATATTTTGAAGATATTTCAAATAGAAGCATGGACTTTTCTGCATGGTCAGTATGTGCCAGTGTGAGGCCAAGATTGCTGGAATGTAAAGGCTTTTGAGCCTACAAGCTTACTCATGAACTATATTTTGCTTTCGATTTAAAACTTAAAATCCTGCATAGTCTGTGACTGGCTTAATCCCTGTCTGGAAAGCTGGCCCACAGTATACAAACCCCATATCACCCTAAATAAAGATAATAAGCGCATATGTTAAGGACATATGGGCACCATGATGTTTACTTTTCAATCATTGCCATGCACTGGTGAAGATGATGATGATGATGATGATAATGATGATGATGATAATGTGATGACTTTACCTGCAGTCAGATCACTAACTGAGACTCCAATCTGAGCTGCAGTGGAGGAGGCTGCTGCAGTCTTACCAGTTTCCTTCTCACTTCTGTCTCCACCTGAGAGAGTGAATATTAGCAATGAATAAGGAGTACAAAACATCTCTTTGAGCAATTATTATGGACTTGGGAGAACGAAAAAAAGGATAAAACAAATGCTGTCAAATGTTCTGGCGCCCTGCGATGGACTGGGGTCCTGTCCAGGGCAGTTTTCTGCCTTCTGCCTGATGACAGCTGGGATAGGCCCCAGATAAGCGGTTTAGATGATGTGTGTGTGTGTGTGTGTGTGTGTGTGTGTGTGTTCTGGTATACTAGACATAGTCTACTTTCCCAAAAAAGTAAAAGATGCCTCTTCAGATATAACATAGGTAGCCAGAACCAAACAGCTGCAACTGTACAGCCAAGCACTTCACTGCAGAAGAAGACTGGTTATTTTGCCCTTAAACACTTTTGTTTTGCTCAAAAACTGTCTGTACAGCAGGACCGACAGATGTTTAGGGCTGACACAGTTAAGTGTAAAGTTTAGTATTACTTCAAGTCCTTGCAAAGCAGAAATAAACATGTTCTGAGTTTGTCAAACTACAGAAAAATGTATTATTAACCACCCAGCCAAATTTGAATAATTAAGAAAATCACCACATACACAAAATTAGGTTTCAAAATCATGAAAAATAAGCTATATTTTCTGCTCTGAAATGCTGGGGGCGTGTCTACTGAAGGCACTGAAACAGCACCCAATCATGTGAAACATGCAAGCCCTCTTTAGCTTTGTGTTCGCCAGCATGTAACTGCTACACTATTTAAGGTGGCACAGGAAAATCTGAACATGAAGCTGGCAAACAGGAAGCCGACTTCAGTTCCATACTAATGTTGGCACATCCATTAGCTTACTAGGTTGGGCAGCAAAGCATTTCTTGGATTGAAATTAAGCCGCTAGCAGTTTTATTGGACTTGTACAGCCATAGCTACATGTTTCCTCTCAGTCTGCAACAAAATGGTATTTTTTTTCTTCAATTTATGCAAGTTATACTGACTAGCACAACCTAGCCAAATAAAGTTAGGCTGGGAGAACCACTGACGGTAATGTGCTCTAGCTGTTATAATGTTTTAGTGTTAGTAGAAGGTTCATGCTAAATATGTCTCTAGGGTGTCATCGAGCCACAGTTTCAGGCCCACCCAAAAAATCCTGAACACAAAAATGATGAAAAACAGTTTAAAAATCCACAATTCACTCCTACAGAGCTCACAGTCTTTTCACATGACTTCAGCAAATATTTTCTAACATGTATAAAATGTTTAGAAACAAATCTGTGAATTTTCCTTTACATAGACCTTCAGCAAATGTATGTTGTGGTAGGATTTTGGGGCTGTATTACAGAAACTTGCTACCTTTTTGTCTTAAGATCTGATGGGTCAAGATAAGGTTTTTCACAAATTCATATTACAGAAGCAAATCTTAATTTAGTTTAAGAATCTAATTTTATCTTAGAGCTCTTATCTCAAGTTCGTAAATCTTAACTTACTCGACTGATGTCGACAATCAGCTGTCATGTCTGTTGCCTAGTAACTGACCATATGTGCACAGCTGAAATGTAAACACGTAATCAAGTTAATTAGCCAGACAGCTAACGTTAACTACCGTTACTGAGGTAAAAGCGACGAATAAAAGTAAAGCGCGATAAACAGAAAGTCAAGAATATTGTATCAGAGCTTCCGTTTATCAGAGCGTCGCCACTCCACAGTTTCATTTTCATTTCCCAAACGCTTTAGCTGAGCACGCTAAGGTCATTCCTCCTAATAAACAGACACACGTTCAGCTCTGTCTCCTCATTATTCACCACCATCTGTATTATTTTATCTGATGAGTTTTAATCAACAATAACACATGAAGGTAATAAGAGGAATGGTGGAGATAACGCTGTTAGAAAAAAACTCACAAGTCAAACCACAGTTTTCAGTGTAGAAAAATGTAACGTCATTATGCTACTTATGATGCCTGTGCTGCCTATCACTGCATAAAACAATAGAAACAGACAATTAAAACAGAAGTTAAGACGCTCTGGGGTTTATCTTAAAGTTAAGAAAATATTTTGGATATTTTGGCAACTTAGGATGTTTCTGTAAAACCGTTTTCTCATCTGGAAATAAGAGAAGATTACAGCATTTCACTGCTAATTGTAACGTGTATAATAGTAACAAATAAAACTTTGAACTTTGATTTAATCACTGTGTTTCATGTTTTGACAAAGAAGACGACTGGAGGTTTTCTTTTAGAAATGTATGGATCTAAGTAACAACTGAAACCGCTCCCTACTACAGCATTTGCATTATATTTGTATTATCTCAATCTATGATTATATCAAATACCTCTGTGCGTAAAGTCAGCTCCAAAGCTGATATTAACTGGGCCATGAAACACACTTCCATGTAGAAGAGGTGCAATGACTGTTCCTCCAGTCTGAGCTGTGGAGTTCTGGACTGGTTCATTCTGCAGTCTGGTGGTCTGGACTTGACCAGTTTGATCTGTGTTCACATGAGGGTACAAAAGTGTTACTATAAAATTCCAGAAAGGATACAAAAAAGTCTCAGAACTAAACAAATTTAAACCAAAGGTTTTCTGTCAGCAAGCCTGCTTTGGCATTACATTTCCAGCTCTGAGGCTATGATCCATACCACTATCATAAGAGCATCCAGTATCACATTGTGGAGAACTATAATGAAGCATTTATCTAAAAATACTATTCATCTTCTCACTGGGTCTGAAAGAAGTGCTAGTGAACGTGTTGTCTTGTAAACACATCATGTAACTGTAAATCTTCTTAAGCCTTTTGGGTTCCAGCATAGCACACATGGTTGTTATCAACCCCCTACAAAACATCATAAACCAGCATTAACCAACAATGTTTATAATTAAACCAAATGAAACTTGGCATTTTCCACTGTGTACATTCTTCATTCAAACAAGACCACCTGAATCTATTAGAGAAATGAGTACACCATAAAAAGATCTTAATAAAAAGATAAACTCCTCTTGATCAACAGATGAGAAAGACAGTGGAAAGTGGAAAGAAGAAACGAAGTATATTCCATTACCTTGTTTATCAGTTATATTCTGCAGCACTTCAGGATTGTTTGCCATCGTGTATGACTGGAACTGAAAAAGGATAATGCAGTCAAGTTAATGGAGTTTTTTGATAACTGAAAAGATGAAGTAATATTTGGTGTCGAATTCCGCATGTGAATATTATAATTGGTAGTCTGTATCTATAAAAGATCATTTCTGATCTCTTAAATGGAGAAAACAGTCATGAATGTTCAACATATCATTGCTGTCAAAAAAAAATATATATGTATCTCAAAAATAATAACTTTACTAGTGAAGGCAAAAACACTCTTCATTTCTAATGTAAGTAATTTTCTGTTGTTCCATAAATAAAATAAAACAAAATAAAAATAGAATAAATTAAATAAAAAATTATAAATAATAATAACAGCCAATGTGAAAGGAGTTAAAGACATATGTGAATGTGTACATATGCAGATATGAATATCTATACATTTGCAGGTCTGAGGACACACATAATGCAATAACTATTATATACAGAATAATAAGAATATTAAGAATATTTATAAAATGACATTTGAACAGTTGTGCAAATAAACATGTTACAAAGAAGTGTAATACAGTAAAGAGATTTGTTTGGTTTAGTTTAAAGTGTGAGGTGACTGCTATGGTTAATGATCTACAGCTTTTGGGGCATTAGCGTGTGTGGTTGTGCTGGTTTTGATGCTCCTAAATCTTCTACCAGAGTAAAGTGGCTAGAAATGTCCAGTATGATAAGGGTTATCTGTAATTTTGAGTGCACTTCATCACCCTGTAGTTGTAGATGTTCTGTAGTGTTGGCAGATACATCCAGGGATCCTCTCTGATGTCCTGATTATGTGCTGGAATTTGGCTTGTTCTTGCGAGACTCATCACCATTGGCTATGACGCCCACTACAGTGATGTTATCTGCAAACCTCAAGATCTTCACAGCTGGTTCCTTAGAGACACAGTCATTGGTGTAGAGACTGAAGAGAAGGGGTCAGAGCACATTATCTTGTGGTTCTCCAGTATGGGGGTCTGGCGTGTGTTTTCCAAGCCACACCTGCTGTCTACTGTTCATCAGGAAATTCATGATCCACTGGTAGATGAGATCTGCCACAAACAGCTGGGGCAGTTTGACCACTATGGCACTTAATGCTGAGCTGAAGTCCACAAACAGAACTCTAACGTAGGTTCCAGGACTGTTGAAATGCCAGGCCACGTTGACCACAACATCAACAGACCGGTTAATTCTGTATGCGAATTGTAGCAGATCCAGCAGAGGGTTTATAATGGCCTTCAGGTGATCTAGGACCTTCACGACTACAGAGGTCAGGGCTACTGGCCTGTAGTCATTTAGTCTAGTAATATTGTTTTTTTGGGGGACTGTAATGATGGTAGAGGTAATCACACAAACATCTATACAATTCATTTGATAATTCTGTAAGAGATTTGCTGTTACCACTGCAAATGGAGGCCAGTTTTCTGCTTGAGACTGAGTTCCTGCTTTCGTAGTTGTTTTTAGTCTGAAAACTTTACAAATATGAAAGGGAAACACTACATCAATGATCATTATTAGTTTTACCTTTCTCTGGCTTTGTCTTCAGTCTTCAGAAAGAACATCTGAAATGTCCATCTTCATCAAGATGCCCAGGGTTAGTTTACAGAACTACAGAATACAAAAATATCACAAATGTGTAATTTCACAATAGTGTAATTTCCCAGTGTATGATGAATATATCTTTTGATGTACATTAGACACCAGGCCAAGTACTTACTCTTTGTGTGCTCCAGTTTTCTTTTCTAAATGACATTTAACCAGAAAAATAAAAATCAGTCAGAACACATTCCTGTCAGATTACATCAACCTAAGTCGGTGAAGTGATTTGACAGCAGACAAAATGTATTTATTATGCTAAATGCTAACTAGTCACTAGCACCAAACAAATGACTGCTCAGGTGACTGCTCGGGTGCCTGCTGCGTACCACAACAATAGTGGGACTGTTAATAGTCAGCAAGCAAGATAAAGTCAATAATTGGGTGTTTTTAACTTGCTTATGGAGCAGCACTGTTTTCTTTCATGCATTCAGTAACTGTCATTTGTGATGATGTCATTAACACCTGGAACACACAGAGCCATCAATGCAGCCTGTGTTTACAGCAGGAGTGAACCGCAGAGCTGGTCTCCCAGTGCTTTGAGGTTCACACGGACAAATGTGAAGAAGGGTACTTATAAAATAAACTGAGGTGACAACCTGATCATACACGGTGACTAACCATGAAACTGTGGCTCCTTAACAACCCCGTCTCTGTTGAGAGTCAGGATTAGACTGTGCAAGAATAATTAATCTAAATCTTCAGTCACCACACGATGCCATTTGTCTGGACAGCATTTCCTCACACTTCACAGGCCGACCTACACTTCTCCTCATACATATTAATAACTCAGTAGTAGCGGTTGACAGGACTGGACCGGATCTGATAATAATCAGTTTTCCAGTAACTGAAATTGGCATTTCTACATGTGTTTTAGCAGCTAATTCAACTTTTAACAGCATTAGACTGATCAAAACACTGACGAGTGTCAAGTAAAATCAGCAAACATTTGTCTCCATTCTCTCTGTGTTTGTGGGAGCTGTAATGAGCTGAGCAGCACAGTCATAGCTCAATATGACGCAAGTGTATGTCCACTGTAGTCACGTAAACATGGCTCCTGCATACAGCTCAAAACTTGATGGAAACAACACATTTCTTTGATGAGAATAAATTTACTACTCATGGGAAAAACACTGTGTGGGGACTCAAAAAGAACGACAGTCTGTGCATTTGTTTTACAAATAATTACATTACCAACACACCAAAACGGACTAAAACTAAATGTGAACAGGTATGTGGGGTACACACACACACACACACACACACACTCACACACACACACACGCATACACACACACACAGATACACACACGCACACACACAATAGAAATATATTAGAATAACTTTTCTTTATGTGTGCAATCTTTCTGATATTTTTAATTACATGTTCATTTTTACTATTTTATTCAAGTGTCATTTCCAAGTGTTTATGCCGTCTCGGCTCTCCCTGCACTTTACTAGTTAATCAAGATAATTTTTTATTCTTATTTGTTTACATTTTTAGCTCAACACTCATGTTGAGAAGCGACTCCTTGTTCTCCATGTTCTCCAACAGTAGTAACAGAACATAACACCTTTTAATTACTTTTTAATGTTTAATGACCACCTTAACACATAATAAAGAACTCAACAAACATCATGAAGTCATTCCTTTATGAATGAGATTAAATCCTGATTTCACTGTATAGATAATCTTCGTGTAGTTTCATAATGCATATGTGTTTTATTAATTATAGACTGCTTAAATTCTGCACCCTTTCTGTACCACAACCGTCCTTTTACACTATTACTCTAGAAAATATTTCCAGTTTCCACAGTAAAACAGAACATATTTCAACTCCCTACACTAAACACATCTGTCTCAACTCATCAGTAAAAGTTCTGAGAGCATCTACTGTTAAAATATTTTTAAAAATGAGTTGAACTGAAACTGATCAATACCAGGAAAACTGAATGAGTTCACTCATATAGAGCAGGAAGACAGAACTGGAGTGTCTAGAGCTCGTATTCACAAAGCTTCTCAGAGTAGAAGAACTAATCTAGGACTCTGGCGGCCCTGCAGAAACTTTCACATGATGACATTTTGACTTTTTATGTTACTTAAAAATGAACAAACTTGTTACTTTTTGAATTTTTAAGATTCAGAAGCTGTAAACATATACATTTTGTTGTTACTCATAAATATATAATTGAAAAAATGTAAGAGCAATAATAAAATGCTGATCTCAAATAAGCCAGTTGGTTAGCCTGCTGTAGACTTCCTTTCTTCTCGTCATTTCATTCACTCCTACTTTAACTTTACACTTTCAATGATACTCTAATATAAACTTTTCACTACAGAAGGAATCCAGAACAGCATTTATTGAAGAACAAAATGCTTTCGAACATATTAAAATGTTGTAACATCATGTAACAGTGGATCGAGCCTGAGTGACAGTTAAGTCCTGCTTGTGCGTGAGAGAGACTGACAGACAGAGATAGACAGAAAGAGAGATAAGAGACATTCTTTGGCTCCAGTTCAATTTCAGGTGGAATGTTTTGGATTCAGTCACGTACACTTTTCCACAAAAAACTGGTTGAGGTGTCGGGTTCCAGGAATCACAGACACTTTCTAGCTACTACAAAACTCCTAATATTACTACTACTGCTAATAATGATAACAACAATAGTAATATTAATTGCCGTAGTAATGTTTTATTTACATAAAACTTTTCACAAAACCAAATTAACTTCAATTGCAGTAGGTAAAAAAGCCCCTGTGCTATGAAATAAAAGGAGAACCCTTTAGTAAAGAGGAAAGCACTGAGATGGTTTCTGAACGATGAAACAGGACAACACTTACTGAAAGATTAGGGTAGTAAATAAAGTTTGGGGGCTTCGCTACTGAACAAGTTGCCCCTCACTGAAGAACTGAGAGCAGATATCACAGCAGTGAGTCCATGAATAAATCACAGACTGAATTCAGTTCTTATTCAGGAAAAAATCAATCATTAAATATATAATAATCAACTATTAGTTTCCCATTGTTTAGTTATTAGTTAACTCTTCATTAAGCATTAGCTATTACTTAGTAATTGATTAAGCACTTATCAGTTAGTAATTAAGTACACTGTTAATTGATAAGTTAGCTTGTCGTTAGTTTATGTCTTACTTACTCATTATCTGTGTGCTAATTGCTGCTTATTACACTGTTAATTAACTAATAAGTATTTTTCTTCATATAAAGAAGTAATGTGATAACTTACTAGCACTTATGTGTTAATCCTGCTAATTACCTGTTAATTAACTTTCCATCACCTCACTTTGGTTCATTAAAGATGCTTATGGTCACATCTGACCGTAAGATGAGCGCACAAATTCACGGACGGTTTTGTTATTCATCACGTTCATCTTGGCATATCTGTACTCATATCTGGTAGGAGTGCATGTAAATTTGGGCATAAATGCTGGACATGTGGCTAATTAACCAAAACTATTATCAACATAATCTGTAATCACAAAAATAAGAACAATAGAAAATTTCAATAATACTAATTTGTGTGCATGACAGTCCAGTACAAAAGTGGATGTATTTACTTTACATGCACATCGATATAAACAAGTGCTGCAACTATTTCATGTTCCATTTAAAGACACATTACACTGTGCTTTTGTTTCATACTACTGACTCACAAACACAGCTTCGGTCATACACTGCAATAATACAGCGTTTATTTTAGGGAATTAACTACAGTAAACAATCACTCTACTATGTTAACAACACAGAGTATTTTGTTTTATTTCACATTTTATTTTTTTCCAGTTGTTGTCATTTTAATACTATTAAGTTTGGTCAGCAGGGGAGGAGTGCACTCACTGCTGGACATCAAACTCCACCCACGAGCACGGCCATTAGCTTTCATGCCAAACACTGCCGTTTTATTGGCTGGCTACTGAAACATCTGCATGAATTAGGGTGTGCTTCATGTAAATGATATGTAAATGAGGTGCTGGTAGGCTGGTTTCATGCACTGAAGCTGATTTATCATTTATGCTCAAATCTCCACTTGTTTCCACATCGTACAAAATTGTTATGAATCAGACGCAGAGCAGTTCAAACCTTATAAAAGGCAAAAAAGTGTTCTTTTTAAGCAACTTTGATGATTAATGGGCCTTTTTCACAAGATTCGTGATTACTTCCGGTGTGACTTTCATGATTAATGGCCATTAGATCTTTACATTTTGACCATTAATTACTTAAATTCCTCTTAATCAACCATTCAGTGCTTCTTAAATTCCTCTTACTTAATCATTAATTACTGCTTTTGTGTCCCTCCAAGTAAAGTGACAACACAAAATCAGTAATTAATGGTTAAGTAAGAGGAATTTAAGAATTAATAATGGTCAAAATGTAAAGATCTAATGGCCGTGGGCCCTTTTCACAAAGAGTCGCGATTACGTCCGGATTAAGCATTAGCAGTGAACTATAATGCTCAAATACTGAGCTACAACAGACATATGTTAGTTTTTGTGCACTATCATGACAAAAGGAAGTGAATGGAAGCACTGATTTAACTGTATACACAGCTAAAATGCTGTGTGTGGTGCAGCCCTGCTTACTGCTGCAGCAGCTGCTCACATCAAGCAGTGTCTCTGTAGTTGAACAACATGCCAGCGATTTCTGTAATATTTCTGTTTTTAAAGAAATTAAAGTTCTTCTGTGTAGTATGAATTTGGTAGACGTTGTTTAGCTGTAGCTAGGTTAGCTAGCAATGCTAGAAGGCATTTCTAACTATAGCTGTGTTCCCAAAATAAGGAAGCTAACCTAGTTAGCTTTCATCAGCTGCTGCCACCAGCCGGCTAACGTGGAGCAGGTTCTGTGACACATTTAGCTACAGGATGCAGCGACTTCTGACATAAACACAAACAAACACTTTTATATGTAAAGTCTATTTTACAGACCTCGTTTAAACTGTATTAGCTTACGGTCGGCTAGCAGGCTACAGTCGCTAATTAGCTAGCCTGCCATTAGCAGTTTGAGCTCCAGCTTCGCATGAGTAGCAGACTTTAAAGCTAAGTTAGCTCTAACGCTGGCTATGTTAGCGATCTGCCAAACAGCATTATTCTTATAGTTTCATGGCGACTTTTGAAGCAGCACTTCAGAAAA